ACACCCCTGCTTAACTTGGTGTCATCTGTGAACTTGCTGATGATACACCCTATGTCCTTATCGAGATCGTCAATAAAGACGTTAAATAGAAATGGTCCCAACACTGAGCCCTGAGGCACACCACTAGTGACCGGCCGCCAGCTGGATTTGAATCCATTGAGCACCACTCTTTGGGACCTTCCAGTCAGCCAGTGCTTGATCCAGCAGATCGTATGCTCGTCCAGGCCGTGTGACACCAGTTTTTTCACCAGATTTGTATGGGGGACAGTGTCGAATGCTTTTTGAAAATCCAGATATACATCCCCCACCAACTCTCAAAAGTGCCATTTGCAGCCTCTGCACAAACATGACTCGAGGTGAACGACGCCAGCGTTACCTGCTGCAGCCAGGTGGGCAGTGACCTCGTCGGCAGCCGTGGAGTTGAGGATGTCGGAGTCATCGTAGGAGGTGTCCTCAGGTGAAGACGGGGAGTCCTCGTCCGCGCTCAGCATGCTGTGCTCTGTGTAGGTGGCCACATGGACCTGCTGCACCTGCTGGGCCACTGCGTGGGCCTCGATGGTGGCCATGTGCTCTGTTTGGGTCACCCCGTGTTCTTCCATCAATAGCTACCTTCAGAGGAGACAAAAAAAGCACAGGAAGGGGTTACTGACACTGATGTGCCATAAGGGATGGCAGCCAAAGGTTTCTGAGCCTCAGGGAGCAGGCTGTGACCAAGGGTGAATGGAGATTACCTCTCCCAGTGGCAGTGGTCTTCTAGGAGAAGGAAATAATGACTACAGCAGGAGCCAGAAGAGAAACTTGAAGTTTAAGAGTCTTGAAAAATCCCTGCTTCCAAACTACATGGCACGGCACCCAGAGGCAGTCATCTTGGCTGGGGGAAAGGCTTTAAGGACCTTGTAGCCCCAAGATTATATAGAATCATGGAATTTGTTGGGTTGGAAGGGACCTTTAAAGGTCATCTAGTCCAACCCCCCTGCAGTAAGCAGGGACATCTTTAATTAGACAAGGTTGCTCAAGCCTGACCTTGAATGTCTCCAGGGATGTGGCCTCCACCACCTCTCTGGGCAACCTGGGCCAGTGTCTCTCCACCCTCATCGGAAAGAACTTCTTCCTAATGTCTGATCTAAACAGAAAGAACTTCTTCCTAATGTGTGATCTAAACTTACCCTGCTCTAGTTTAAAAACATTGTCCCTCGTTCCATCGCTACATGCCCTTGCAAACAGTCCCTCCTTATCCTGCTCTAGTTTAAAAACATTGCCCTTTGTTCCATCACTACATGCCCTTGCAAACAGTCCCTCCCCATATCTCCTGTAGACCCTCTTCAGGTACTGGAAGGGGGGGTCTCCCAGAGCCTTCTCCAGGCTGAAAATATATATTCCTCACCCATTACATATTAAAAGGTCTGATCAAAGCTAGAGCTTATTTTTGCCACTTCAACATCTAGCTTTCATGGAAGACACTCAAGGGCGATACACAATCTCTCTCCTCCAGCCTCAACAGCTCAGGACACACAGGAGGATGCCAGCAGAGAAGTTTACTGGCAGCAAGTCGTGTTCTGGGAGACCACTTTCGTTGCATTACTCGTTTGGAGTCCGGAAGCAGGCAAAGTCATTGCAACCCAAACACAAATATTACATAAAGCTTATTTATTTAATGCATCTAGTGGTAAACCACCGAGCGAAGCAGCAGCTCACATAGTCAGCAGGGCACTGGACCACACACCACGAACATAAATCTGTGCAGAAGGAACAAGACAAGAGGCAGGGATATTATTTTCACTGTGTGTCTACCATGCATTTGTGGAAAGGGAACAGCACATCCTTAAGATCTTATTTTCAACATACATTACAAGAATTAGCACGTCAACCCTCAAAAATGGATTCCCCAAAGCCCTCAGGGCAAACAGCAGAAGGAAAGAGACGATCAGCTGTAGGGAACAATAAAACACACCCAGCAAATTCTGACCCTGTAAGTATAGATATTGAATTTAAAGCTCTTGACTGACCCCCTCTTCATGGAAACCTGTTTAGCTTTGTCAAGAGGAGAGAGATGGGAGCACAGACACAGACCACAGAGTGGTCTCAGATACATGGCTGAGCAACTGCTCTACAAACTCAAAGAGTGCCACCACACATAAATTTGTCCTTCAAAAGCTTTCAACGGCTTCTATTACCCGTATCACACCATAAATATGACACTTTGCAAATCATCAACATGAAAAAAAAACTCAGTCTGGTAAAATAATCACCAGGCTTCTACTGAACACAAAAACCACATCCCGATGACCAAGCCATGGAATGCCGTGGTGGGATCGATGAGATGCTGGGGCCCAGACCAGGAGAAAGCACTTTGTCAAGATGGTTATTTTGACCAAACTAACCAATAGTCATACATCAAGAAGGAGCAACTAATCGAGATAGGGCAACAGCGACTATTACAAAGGTGGGATGCTCCATGGAAGAAACAGAGAAGAACAGAGGACACCTCAGCTGAAGCTGCGAATATGTGGGCAAACAGGAGTAGAAGATTAGCTGGGAGGCAGAAGGAGGTTAAAGGAGAGGACCAGAGTCTTCCTCTGAACTCAGGAGAGAGCATAAAGGGAAAAAGCATAATCAAAGCTGTGGAAAAAGTATTATTTGCAGCAGCAGCTCAGAAACAAGGAAGTGGTTGCCATAGTCCAGACAACAAATGGACAAAATGTAGGGTGGGGAGTGACTGGTATTTAGATGGGTTTATTTCTACCTCAAATCTACTGACCAAAGAGCCGAAATACGACAGATTTTTATTATTATTTTTTTTCCCCCATCACCATCTGGTTCCCAAAGGCTTGTTTCCACATGGCTCCAAACATCTTCTGCAACTCAGTGAACTGAACGTTACGCACATTTATAAAACCGTTCTTCCAAAGGCAGTTCCAACTTGAAGATACCAAAAATAGGGATGCAATCATTTTAGAGAGTCCTGTCTCCTCAACACAGGACCCTTTCTAAAACCGTTTTCCGTGTTTGACTGAAGTGCATCTGTTTTTACAAGGAACAAATGCTGCATCTCAAATCCAGGGAAAATATTCCCCGCGCAGCACGAAGAGAATCTTCCCGTTCAAATGCCGGGCACGTACGTTGTTGAACATGGGGTGAGATGAAGCTTCTGATGTAGCAGCAGAACCAAGATATTGAAAGGAGACTTGGAAAGTCATAGAATCATGGAATGATTTGGGTTGGAAGGGACCTTAAAGATCATCTGGACACCTCCCACCAGACCAGGTTGCTCCAAGCCCCATCCAACCTGCCCTTGAACCCCTCCAGGGATGGGGCAGCCACAGCTTCTCTGGCCAACCTGGGCCAGTGCCTCAAAATGGTGTGGATGGGAGACTAAGTTCCATCTGGGCCACAAACAGATGTTTTCAAACTTCAGTTTTCTGTTTTCTATCCAGGCACGTGTTTGAGGAACTCACGTCTGTGGGACAGAAGTGCTGTTGTCAGACTGTTATGAACCCACCGAGGTTCAAATCACCTCCAAACTCCCAATCCTCCCTAGAAGGCTGCTAGAGTTAGATGTTGCTGGTGTCCAACCCTGTTTACAACTCAGATTGTAATATTAGAATGATCCAAAAATAGCAGTGATTCAAATACCACCAAGTAAGGACGGGACCAAGACGCTGAGGTACATTGAAGCAAACTGAAAATTTCTGGTTGAAATTAAAAAAAAATATTAAGTCAGCCATAATCTTCCAAGGAACTTATTTTGCCATCACCATAGAAAAATGGGGAGGAGGGAAAAGAAAGAAAAAAGATTTCTAGCAAAACCTTAATGAAATAGCTCAGCAGGCCAGGTCTTTCCCAAATCACGTTTTTTCTGAAAGGTGGTTTTTTTCACGTCACTGCTTTTCTCAAGGGAGCAATACAACTTTAAGTATTTTTCCTTTAAAATTTATTTATCCACAGAAAAATACCATGAGAATATAACTGACAAAGCACAGTAACCTTCTAGCTCATCAGGAGACAAGACTGCCAGACAAGGGATGCTTCCAGTATTGTTTCCTTCAGAAGGAAACCTGCTTGAATCAAGAGGTGGTCTACACCTAACGCCACTAAAAACAATACTTTTTTTTTTCATAAATAAAATTAGTAGCAGACTGAAAACGATGCATTTCTGAGTCGGTGAGTGGACAGCTGGGTGAGCAACAGCAATACTCCTCATGAGAAACTATGAAAATTTCAACATACGTGCATTTGGTCTAGTTTTTAGGGGAACATGTCCTACTTCGGTGAACGGTGCCTGGTTGAATTTTTGCTTATAGCTGTTGCCAAAAATGCCATGACTGGGACAATCAACAGCAATGCCATCTCATGAGAAACTATGAAAATTTCAACATACGTGCATTTGGTCTAGTTTTTAGGGGAACATGTCCTACTTCGGTGAACGGTGCCTGGTTGAATTTTTGCTTATAGCTGTTGCCAAAAATGCCATGACTGGGACAATCAACAGCAAGGCCATTGTGTTTATTTAAAGATGAAGTCCACTTGATTCAAAGAAGGTCTAATAATCATCAATCTACTACAATCTCTTTTCTTTCTCCATGGCCTCCCTTCCAAAGGAGTCTGAGGTACATGCAACATCTGAAGAACACTTGCTTCCTTGGTGGCACTATCAGATTTCCTCACTTTTAAGCTTTCCTGCCTTATAAAAGTAGGTATAAGCTGAAAAGAAAAAGGCAATAAACTACTGCAGCTCTTCAGTAAACGGCACAGCCTGCCCAACTGCACACACAGCACCACCACAAGCTCCAGTAATTCATTTCCAAGTTGTAACTTGGATTAATTCTAGTTTAACTTGAGAGTTGGCTTCATTCAACACAGGTTTTCTACTTTTCCAATTTCTGTGCTATTTTCATACCTGCACATTGTCCTCCCAGGAAATTTCCAAAGGTCTCCAGGATCATACAGAATCACAGAACTATATGGGGTTGGAAGGGACCTCTGGAGATCATCTAGTCCAATTCCCTTCCAGAGCAGGTCCACCCAGATCAGGTCCTACAGGAACGCGTCCAGGCAGGGTTTGAATGTCTCCAGAGAAGGAGACTCCACCACCTCTCTGGGCAGCCTCTGCCAGGGCTCTGCCACCCTCAAAGAAGTTGCTCCTCATGTTTAGATGGAACTTTCCCATGTTCAAGTTTGTGCCCATTTCCTCTTGTCCTGTCCCTGGGCACCACTGGAAAAAAGCCTGGCCCCATCCTCCTGACACCCACCCTTTAAGTATTTATAGGTATTGATGAGATCCCCCCTCAGTCTTCTCTTCTCCAGACTAAACAGACCCAAGCCCCTCAGCCTTTCCTAGTAAGAAAGATGCTCCAGGCCCTTCATCATCTGCATACACGGAAAGGCACAAAGCCTTATCTTTGAGTGTTGAGATCTTGGGTAGTTATTTAGATATTGAAACTATTCCCACAGGTTTCCTGCTCCAAGTCAGGCTTTGTGGGCAAACACCTTGACTGGCATCTTCTGCTGGTGATTACCAACCTGGTGATACTGTTGTTGCCCCAGCGGCAAAGCATCTGAAGGGTCTGTACTTGGATTTGAACAGGGGACGAAAGGAAAGTTGTTCTTGATTAATTTTACAGTCATCATTCCAGAAAAGGAAAGTTTATCTTTGTTTTCCTTCAGAAACCAGAACAGTTTCAGGTGTAAGGAAACCCTAATGATATGATGATGCCTGCAAAGACGTTTCCTGGTAGCTGTAGCTTAGTCCAGAAGCCTTGGATGGCAGCCAGAAGTATTTTTAAAGTCATTTAAAGTGCTTAAAAAATATATGAGGATAAAGTCCCTCTCATCACACAGTGCAATTGCTTCATGACTGTGTCAGAGGTTCCTTTGATGTACTGTCAACTCTGATCAATGGCTGTTGACACCATCGCTGGAAAAATCCCAGATGCAGGAGGAGCAGAGCAAGCTAAAATAGCAGAAGCTGTACCTCTCAAACCAGCAGAAACAATCAGAAACTGCACA